CTCTCTCAAATAAAGAAAATCTTTAAAAAAATAAAATAAAATAATAAAAAATAAAACCTACTACAAAGCTATAGTAATTAAGACAGTGTGGGGGTACGTAGGTGGCTCAGTCAGTTAAGTGTCCAACACTTGGTTTCAGCTCGGGTCATGATCTCAGGGTCATGAGACTGAGCCCCGTGTCAGGCACTGCGCTCAGCACAGAGTCAGTTTGAGATTCTTTCCCTCTCTCTCTGCTCCTCCCATCAGTCTCTCTCTCAAATAAATAAAACCTTAAAAAAAAAAAAAGTGTGGAACCAGCATAAGAACAGACAAATAGATCAATGAAATAGAATTGAGAGTCCAGAAATAAATCCTCACATTTGTAGTCAGTTGATTTTCAACAAGGGTGCCAAGACAATTGCAAAGGACAAGAATAGTTTTTTCAAGAAAGAGTGCTGGAGCAGCACCTGGATATCTACATCTGAAAGAATGAAGTTGGACGCTTACCCTCACACCATATACAAAAATTAAGTCAAACTTGATCACACACCTAAATGTAAGAACTAGACATATAAAGTTCATAGAAGAGAAACAGGTGTAAATCTTCAAGACTTGGAATTAGTTTCTTAGATATGACACCTATAGCACAAAGCAACAGGAAAAAAAAATATATTGGACTTAATAAAAATTTAAAAATTTTTATGTTTCAAAGGATACTATCAAGAAAGTGTAAGGCTAACGCAGAGAAAGGGAGGAAATATTTATAAATCATATATCTGATAAGTCTTATATCTAAATTTATATAAACAATAAAAAGACAACCTAAGTTTCTAAAATGGCCAAAGGATCTTAATAGACATTTCTACAAAGAAGATCTACAAATGGCTAACAAGCACATGGAAAGATGTTCAACATCACCAGTGACCAGGATATGTATGTTGAAACCATAATGAGAAACCAGTAGGATGTCTATAATTTAAAAAACAAGTGTTGATGGGGACGTAGAGAAACTGAAATCTTCATATATACGGCTGATGAGAACCTAAAAGTAGCGCAGCTGCTTTGGAAATAGTCCAGCAGTTCCTCAAATGTCAGCACAGAGTTACTATATGACCCACCAATTCCATTCCTGATTATACATCCAAGAAAACTGGAAACATTATCACACAAAAACTTGTACACAAATGTTCAGAGAAACATTATTCATAATAGCTAAAATGGAAGCAGTCTCAATTCAATCAACTGATAGATGGAGAAGCAAAAAGTGATAAACTCATACAGGGAAAAAATACTCAGTCATAAAAAGAAATGAAGTACTACTATATGCTATAGCATGGATGAACCTTGAAAACATTTAACCAAGAGGCCAGACAAGGCCACACATTACAGGACTCCACTTGTATGAAATGTCAAGAAGAGGCAAATCCTTAGAGACAGAACACAGATTCGTGGTTGCCAGGAGCTACAGAGAAAGAGAAAGAGGAGTGACTGCTCGTGGGCATGGGCTTTCTTTCTGAATGTCTTAAAATGTTGTGGAATTAGGCAGTGGTGAGGGCTGTACAACTGTGGATATACTAAAAGTCACTACGTTGTACACTCAAAAAAGGGGGTGTTCTATCATGTGAATTATATCTCAATTTTTAAAATATATACATTTTTAAAATTAGTTACATGGTGGCTTTAAAGAAATACTACATAACATTTCTTTTCCATAATCTAATAAAAATATACACACCAGAGTAATTACTTTGCCAGAATATTAAGAGGAAACTATTAATACAACTAAAACCAATCTCAGAGTAAATTATTAAAAGTCACTTTTAAGACCGCCTATCTTCCACTAATCTTACCAATTTTCAAATCATCAGCCAGACTTTCTTTGGTGAGATTCAACAGTTCTCTTCCATCAATGTTATTCATTTTGAAAACACCAACAAGGTCACTTAAACCTTGTGCACAAAGCCACATTGAGACATCATCCTCTGACCAGTCTTCAGTAAACTGCTTTGCTTGATCTTCTGTGCTCCTTGCTTTTAAAAACAAACCGACAAACAAAAAGGCAGGTAAAATAACAATGAAGAAAAGTACTTCCTTTATAAATATTCTCACTGAGAATTAAAAAGTAAATGAAATTTCCTTAAATCTGTGTTTTGCTCTTTAACATTCTTTTAAGAAATTTCAAAAAATCAAATAATACTATGCATAATTACAGTATTACTTAACACTATATTAAATACTACTCTTTTGGAACTTTTTCTTTTCACTCTAGAAAAACAATTTTTTTTTATTATATAAAACTCATAATCTGGGTGCCTGGATGGCTCAGTCAATTAAGCATCAGCTCAGGTCTTGACCTCAGGGTCATGAGTTCAAGCCCTGTATCAGGTTCCACGCTGGACGTGGAGCCTACTTTAAACAAAACAAAACAAAAACCAAAAACCTCATATCAGCGAAAGTATTCTATGTGCTCTATCATCTGCATATCAGCACCACTATTTCGTTAATTCTGACAGTGATAAAAATAAAACTCCTAAATTATGTGTCAACATTGTTTGATGAGGCCAAAAATAAAATGAACAAATAAAACTGTGATTTCTATTTTGTTCCCAGGCTGTATTTATCTGAAAAAATAGTGTGCAGTACAAATAAATAGCTTACAAAACTATGGGAGGTATAATATCCATGAAAGTGCACCGAAAAGCATTTACCAACAGTTTTAACATAGACCAACTACTTTAAAACACTGGCTTCTCTAAAATTACTTTTAAATTATATTAAATTTAGCTGTATACTTTATACTGAGAAAAAGCAAGGTGAATAATTTGCCAAAAAATTATGGAATTTAAAATTTTAATGGTGAATGGGTTGAACTGGGTTAGATGCCCTTACTAACCTTGGCAAGGTGTTTCCAGATCAAATTGCCAGATGTTCACTGTTTTGTCCATTGAACCAGTAGCAAATAAAAGGGTATTGGGTGCAAAGGCACAACTTGTGACATACCTAGTTAACAAAAACAACTATTATGTATCCTCAGACTAATTTTTTAATTATACTAATATAAAATGAGGTTAAGTTCAGACCTGGTGTGCTGAGTCAACGTGTGAAGTATATTCTCAGTATTCTGAAAGACAATAAAAACAGCTTTATATTTACACAGGCAGGAGTAAAGTTACTGATAAGGGATTATCTGACATAAATGTTTCTATGCTGTGTTTTAATATTATTAGTCATGAATGTAAGTTGACACTTCACCCAATAAAAAGAGAATAGCATCTATAACTAATAATATTATCAAGTACTTATTTCACTCTTTCTCAATAATTAGCACTGTTGTCTGCTGACCATCTTCCTAGAAGTTTTTAGTATAAAACACTCTTGGCTTTTGCTGACTTATTTGCATTTACTCATGGTAACCTAAACATCTGTTACATGAAATCTGTAATTTTGCTATGACATCTGACTTGTATCCATTGCAGGACCAGTGAGTAGAAATTAGTCACTTAGATTCTGAATACACCTAGCCGGCCATCTAGCATCTAGACATATTCATTTTACTAATTTTTAAAAATGAAGTATAATTAACATACAGTATTATATTAGTTTCAGGTTGTATTTAACTGAGACTCATAATTATTTAATGGAGAAAATTTAATGTTATAGCTATTCTTGTAAATGTAAAATCTCATGAAAATTTCTTGAGAAACATTTAGGATCTACTTCACCCAGTGAGTATTTTTGCCCATCTCCTGCCAGAGTGCTCAGTGATTTGAACTTTCACGTGGAGGACTACCTTAGATTCCTTGCTTGACCCACTACACTTTTGATGATTTACATCTCTGTCTCATTTGCTGGCAAAGCTGCAGCCTGAACTCATCATTATGAGGCTCCATTCAACATTCTCCATTCTCTCTTAAAGAATATTTTCATCAACCACATCTTTATTATATATAAAACATTCATTTTTCTTCGTACTTGTGCAACTCTGGTCTTTATTCATATGGGTCTATCAAAAACTTGCATTTTCCCAAGTTCATTAAATCCTACTCTTCCTTATACTCTAAACCTAGCCAGAACTCCACCGGTAGTAGGCCACTTTCAGCTACACTCTTCCAAAACCCTGGGGTAAACATTCATCCCTTGCTGTTATGGAAACCTGGTATAAAAATTTAAGAATAATCAATTTGAAGTGATTTTTTTTTTTTTGGATCTAGGTGCTCCTTAAATCTGTATTTTCTTTGATCAGATTAAACATCTATTCATCTTAAACATCTGTCCCTCTTAAAATCATTATTGAAATATCTAAGGACTTGTCCCAGAACCTGTACCTTAATCTGCACAACTATCTTAGCATTTCTGAAAATGTATATTCTTAGGCACTTGAAAAAAGTATACATTTTGTTCACCTTGCCTAACAAAATTTTTAGTTCAGTAGCCTAATAAACATAATTTACACAGAGCCCACACAAAAGATTTTGAAATACTTACAGTATCATATACTATGACAGACTTATCCACTGATCTTTAAAAGAAAAAGGAAATTATGGGTAAGAAGTTCTATAAAAACAAAGTACAGCATTTATTAATTAGGATTTTTAAATAATTTAAAATTTTTTAAAAAGGCTGAGATATTGATATGCAAACATTTATTTTTAAGAGATTTTATTTGAGAGAGAGAGAGTGTGCACGTGCACAAGCGGGGGGAGGGGCAGAGGCTGAAGCAGACTCCCCACTGAGTAGGGAGCCTGATGCGATGAGGGGCTGGATCCCAGGGCCCTGAGATCATGACCTGAGCTGAAGGCCGATGTTTAACCTACTGAACCACCCAGGCACCCGTGATATGCAAACATTTAGAATGCAGTCTCTTTTTGTTTCTGGGTATGAACTTTTATTCAAAAAACTACATGCTGTATATGAAATTTATCAGAAAATTATAAACTTTAGTAAACAATGGCATATGCTATTTATACCAACTAGCCATACAGAAAATAAGCATTTCTGATGTATAAATAAGACACAATCCCGTATCGAGTTAATAACTCAAAGGGAAAAGCCACTAAAAGGGAAAACTATTAACAGTTGACCCTTGAACAACGCACGGATTAGGGGCATTGATCCCCTTCCCCATGCTGTTGAAAATTCATGTATAACTTTTGACTCCCCAAAAACTTGACTACTACTAAGCCTCCTGTTGACTGGAAGCCTTACCAATAACGACTGGTTGATTAACACATGTTTTATATGTTACATGTATTCTATACTGCCTACTTAAAGTTCAAGAAAATCTTCATATCTTAAGAGAAAATACTGTACTATATAAAAAAAAAAATCCCTGCATATAAGAAAGCCTATGCAGTTCAAACCTATGTTGTTCAAGGGTCAACAGTACTTGTTCCTTGGTTTTTGTTTCGGACAGCATTGTTCTTTATCAGTGATATGGCCATGCCTTAATTACTAATCTCTCTCTCTCTACATACACACAAACACGCACACACATGCACACACCTTGTGACTCATTTTTGAAAATTATAATTCTAAACTTGATATGAACTCTACAAAGTTTCTTTTAATGGTATAAAAATAAAAAAAAAAAGCCATCTGGGAGTATTCTAGTGGTGAAAAAGATCATCAAACAAAGAAAAATGCAATCCTATAATAAAATACATAATTAACAAGAACAGATAAATGTTTCTCCATAATATTTTTCCTCTTTAAAAATAGTCTTTATGCCACCATGATATATGTTGCAAGGTGAGAAAACACAATACAAGTGTTACTACTGTCTGTACAACTTTAATAATATTTGTATTTATTAAAAGGTGGCTAATAAGAGTCCAACCATAGGAGTCCTAGCTCCTGGAGGGCTTAAAATTCCTTGTTTAGTAGGTTATCCAGTGTAGGTGATGGATTTTTTACTGTAGAATCTTTGTTATAAGTAGAAAAAAGGAATTATACTTTAAATGTTCAAATGTAAAATAAAATACAAGAAAATGGGAAGCATATGAATGCATTCTGGATGTCAAACAGTTATAGCATTAAATGTTAAAATTCCAGCCAAAGAAAACTGAGAAATAATATTAGCAGCTAACATTATTTGATTATGTATATATATGCTAAATATAATTTGTGGATACTCTTATTTAGTCCTAAATTCCTCAAGGTACAAGGTATGATTACTAAAATATATAAAATTCTTAGGGAAGACTACTACTTCTGAGCATCCTAAAAAAGAAAAAAGCAAATTCCATCTTCTGAGATCACAACTGGTGCAGTTAAAACTAACTGGGGTGCCTGGGTGTCTCAGTCAGTTGAGCATCTGACTCTTGGTTTTGGCTCAGGTCATAATCTCATGGGTAGTGGGATAGAGGCCCACATTGGACTCTGTGCTCAGGGTGGAGTCTACTTGAAAGACTCTCTCCCTCTGCCCCTCTCCCTGCTCTCTCTCACTCTCTAATAAATAAATAAATCTTAAAAAAAAAACCAAACCCTAATTCATCCTAATAATATATCACTTGAAGAGCTGGATCATCATTAGTAATCTTTATGAGCATTGTATACTGAGAAGACAGAAATTAGGGCAACAAGCAACAGTCCACTATGGGAATAGGAAGCAATAAGGCCCAAAACAGACTAGAACAAAAAAACAAAGCACCCAAGAAATTTAGACAATCTTGTAGGCAATAGATAGCCAGCCACGATGGCAATGGAATAGGTTCACTTGTTATTGAGGTATGAAAATGAATCTGAGAAACAAAAGGCCAAACATGAAGAACTCTTAAGAGTCTAACGAATCCAAGCAAGAAGAATGGAAATTATAAATAGACCTGCAAACTTTGAGAGATAAAAAAGATTGTCAACTCACCTCCTGTAGTCTCTAATTTGGTCATGGGATTCAAAGAAAGATACTATAGGATTTGATAACTGATTAGATTTGGGGGAAGGAAATTAGGATTAGGGAAAAATAATAGTTTTTAATATTTGAGATTTGAGTTTCAAAGACTAGAAGAATAATAGAGCCATTGTACACAGACACAAAATAAAATACTTTGAAACCACTCAAACAATATAACACTTCAAAATATTCCCTAAATTGAACCTGAACCAACACCACACAAGAAGTCCCACTGTTTAGTGCTCCTGGTTATACATTTCCTGCCTGCTTTATGTAAATCTTACCCCAACTTTTCAGTATGAACATTCCACCACAATCTGCCCTGTCACTGTATAAAGGAGGTATTAGTATTCAAGCCTTTTGATACTCCATTTCTTCAGTTTTGTGGCACTCTAAAACCTCAACTCTGCTCATTCAAGACTGCAAGACAAATATGTCAATTATATCCAGATGGATACTGGGTGAGAGCAACAACACATACAGTTATGTGGTTGATATGGAAGAGCACAGACTCATGGGGGATCCGTGACATTACAGTGACACTGTACAGCCACCCCAATATCAGAAATACCTAAAGCATTTTAATCTAAACTAGCTTTATACAATGGCCAAAAAGCTAATCAAATGAAATTACCAACATTTCTTTAGGGCAAGTGTGTTCCTAAGGTTTAAAGATTTATTTTGCACTCAAGTGTTTTTATTTTAAATGTATTGATCTATGTTTCTTCTCATTCAGAAAGTATTTGCAGTCTCTTACAAAGATGTAGCAAAAACAAGGTAAAAATTATGTGAGGAGACCAGAGAGGAAGAGAATACAAAGATGAAGTGGACAAGAGAAATGAAGGTTAAGATTTAGTGTCCAAGGGGCTCCTGGGTGGCTCAGTCGGTTGCATGTCAGACTCTTGATGTTGGCTCAGGTTACGGACCGTGGGATCAAGCCCCATGTTGGGCTTGAGCCCCATGTTGGGCTCCGCACTCAGTGCAGAGTCTGCTTGTACCTTTCCCTCTCTTCCTCCCCGCCTCCCCCTGCTCGCACTCGCTCACTCTCTCAAATAAAATCTTTAAAAAAAATTTAGTGTCCAAAATATACAACATAAAATCCAGTCCACCCTGCTACAGGAGGGCTGCAACTTTGGTTCTGAGCTTCTTCAACAGCAATTCAAGAAAGAAAACATGATATGTTAACACAATTTAAGATAGAAATACAAACCCAAAGTTTGGAAAAGAGACATCAATTCCTCAGACTGAGACGTGAAAGAACTATTTCCCCCAAAGACTTTATAGAGAGGATTCTATGACACAAAGTCCTCAACAACTCTTTCTGAATGAACATAGTAAATTTCAAACAGCTGTTTTATAATGCCCCCTTAGGATAGGTCAATGGCCGAAACCCAGAGAAAGCAGAAATCAGAAAATGTCCAATGTTCTGGATTACATAAAAAAAATAATATATATATTTTATAATCATGTACTGAACAATTATTATGCCCCCAAAATAAGTAATAAATGCTTTGCCTGCATTTTCTTATTTAAGCTTTGTAACAATCTTATGAAGAACATGTTATTATTTTCCCCATTCTATAATTCAGAGAAGTGAAGCTGAGATAAGATCTGGAATTAGTGAACTTGCTCAAAGTCACACAGCTAGGAAGTGGCAGGCCTGGGACGAAAACTCAGTTCTATGTGATCCTAAAACCCAACTTTTTGGATTTTACACTTCCTAGAACATCATCGCCCATGAAAGTATTAAAATTAAAATGGATTCATAATGGGGACATAGCCTCACAGTTTTAGCCTAAAAACGTATAAAGCAGATGGCACAGCTATTCAAATTTCACTAAAGCTTTCACAAGACATCTAATTTCAAGCAATGCAATATCTAATAACCCTCTGTAATAAACAGCATCACGTACTTTTAGGCTACTAAATGAACTGACCTGTTCTATAGGATTATGAACAATGTTGTAAAGAGAGAGGGGGGAAAAGATGATTTGAGTTTTGGAAAAGTGATCTTAAGCCTTCTCCTGCTAGTCATTACTGAGCAAGAGAAGGTTGTTTGTAAAGCCACTCCAAATTCAAGACAATAAAACTCTATCCTTCACATTTATAAAATAGATAAAATATAAACAAACTTCTTATTGGGATGAGAGAGGACACTTCCCATCCTTTCTGGAATAAGGCTCCTGGCCTCTTCTCCCTCTCCTGCTTAGCAGAAAAAGAATGACAAATGACTAGAGAGTTTGGGGAAGATGTTAGGTCACGTGGCCCAGCCCCTTCTGGATTTTCTTGTATCTGATATACCCCTGCAGGGGAAGTCTGCAGTGGTCCATGCTGCCCAAGAACAGGTGAGCAAGTCAGCTGCAGATCTACAGTCATGTTACCCAGTCTGTCTTACATTTCTCTCTCATTGGTTTTTGACTCAAGAAGAGGAAAAGAAGATGCTATTTATTGAACTCTTAAAAATGAGGAATTCTGAATCTCAGGAAACAAACTGAGGGTTGCTGGAGTGGTGGGGGGTGGGAAGGATGGGGTGGCTGGGTGATAGACATTGGGGAGGGTATGTACTATGGTGAGTGCTGTGAATTGTGTAAGACTGATGAATCACAGACCTGTACCTCTGAAACAAATAA